ATTTTTTTTTTTTTTTTTTTGTTTATCATCTTGTTTGTTCGTACATAAAAGTATCGATAAAACAATATTTTCATCAGTATTTCATCGTTACGTAGCCGTGCGCGCAAATGAGTGAAAGTACGTCCCAAAAGTGAAATTCGCGATTCGGCCGGGACCCCGAAAAAAAAAAAAAAAAAAAAAAAAAAAAAAAAAAAGAATTTTAGTCACGCGACAGGTAAAACAACCCCCTGCCGGCTTGCTAATCACATATACCAGTTACTTAATTCATCTCTACGAACCCAGTTAAATGCACGAGTATAAGGTACAACACGGCTTATCTTTTCCTATATACTTATTAGCTCTCGTCATTTACTCTTATTCGCATTACGTGCCGCCTGTTGTACGTGTACGACATTTCTCCACCCATTACTAGTTATTATACCCCTTCCCCCGATCAGCATAGCATGATGTACAGTTTCCCTGTACCTCGCCCTCGCAAACGTACGGGTACAAAGCACACAATATATACTTGTACGTCCGGGCGATCGATCCGCCGATTAGTATCAAACTCACCGGTATATATAATGTACTATAACGAGCCGCGAAAAATCACGCATATGCACATGCACTCAAGTACGCGTGTATAAATCTCCGTTAACCGGCCGAAATCGTCTGCAGTTGTTGCGATCATTTGTACAAAGGGGAAAGTTTCACGCGAACACTCTCGCGCGCGCACCCCCTCCCCCCCCCCAAGTGATAAAATATTATACCCAGATCCTGAGCGCTAATTGCGCTTTATGCGTACCTAATTATACGCGCTTAATCGTCACTTTGCCGCTGTCTCAACTCCCGAGGATTTTTTTTTTTTTTTTTCCTTCCTCCACCACTTTTTAGCATATTACTACGGACGTTTCCCGACAACTCGCCATCTTTTCCCGGCACTTCAATCCNCGCGAACACTCTCGCGCGCGCACCCCCTCCCCCCCCCCAAGTGATAAAATATTATACCCAGATCCTGAGCGCTAATTGCGCTTTATGCGTACCTAATTATACGCGCTTAATCGTCACTTTGCCGCTGTCTCAACTCCCGAGGATTTTTTTTTTTTTTTTTCCTTCCTCCTCTCTCAGCTGTACATAGTAGTGCATAGTATACCAGCATTTTAGTCGAGAGCCATACCTGTACCGTTTGCAGTACGAGTACGTGTTAATTAGGAAAGTTAGCTTTATCTGATAAATGCCATGTACAATCTACATATATACATGGTATACATGCGTGGGCGACCATAACAACCGTATCCACTTGATTAAATTTCGTCAACGTCGCGCATATTATGTTTAACATACACGTGTGCATCGGTATATACACGCGGTCGCAATATTCACAATGAAGCCACATCTGATGCACGAAATCCAGAGATAGAGAGAGAGCGGGTGTGCGCGTCTCCGCGGAATTCCCAAATGAAGAGCTCGGGGGAGGGTGAGCAGCCGGTGCCAGAGAGGTGCATTACTTATACCAGTCAGACAGCCTTGATTGACTCAAGTCGGTGAGCGATTCGCCCTATACGTCCCCGTCCCTTTGCTGATGTATGTATATATAAGTTATAGTATACACCTGCAGCGTCTCCGACCCTCACCTTACCGAGCGCGCTTTTATTTTATGTTTTTTTTTTTTTTTTTTTTTTTCCACCCTTTTGATTCTCTCTCTGGCTTTGCTCCCTTTGCTGATTAGAGGAGGGGCGTCCCTAGACTCGCTCGCCCGGGGCCGTTACAGTGGCTGATGCGCGCGCGCCGTGAATGGAATGTAAGTGAGCTGTCGAGTAACGTCGTTAGGCTCGCTGTATACACATATACAGCTACCCCAAGGTTACGTGACCAGCCTGACTGATGACCGGCTCAAGGGCTCTTTTATAAATATTAATCACGCGCCCGGGTACATTAGGTATACCTTTGTGTGCAGGGTAAGCGTCTCCATACAAGCGTATCAAATAAAATTTAAAAAAAAAAAAAAAACAATCGGCGTTTATTACTGTGCCCAAAGAAGCTTTATATTTGGCTCGATTCATCGGGGGGTGCGACACACACTCTGCAGCCCTGGTGCCTATATAGGATTTTGCGGCTCGAGTGGCCTTATTTGTCGTAGCTGCGGGGGAGGGTACAAATATTGATTTTAATTAGCGCTGCTTGGTTGACTACCGGCGTGTAACGAAGTACAAGCGCGAGCTCAAGTGCACGCGACCCTTGTACGTATACATGTATATATACGTATATGCGCTAATGCAGCTCCTTGTTCCATGTATAATATATACCCTCGGGAATATGCGAATGATATGACGGCGATGACGCGGGCACGTGTGTGTGTGTATAAGTGTGCTTTGTTGTTGCGGGCGCGCGAGGGTGTATAGGTGTTGATGAGCCTTACGTGCGGTATGTCGAGAACGACACGTTTGGGTGGATGCGTACGAGTTGCCATGATGGGGGATCGCGGTTGTAAGTAGATCGAAAACTGCTGACAAAGCGCCTGCGCGAGGACAAATATAAAAACACAAACAGTGAAGATGAAAACAAAAACAAAAAGGGGGACACAGAGAGAGGGAGGGGCCAAATGTGGGAGCTCGTTACGCGGATCCGATCCTATGCACACTTTTCTTTTTTTTTTTTTTTTNCAAAGGTGCCGGTAGAATTTCTCTGCCGAATTTCTGTTTTTGCCTCGGTTCACCGTAAGCGCACGCGTTGCGAGACGGAAAGAAAAAAAAAAAAAAAAAAAAAAAAGCGCCAATAGCGCGAAAAATCGGGCGAGATGCAAACCGATCGCGGAAAAAAAAAACACAGATCCGATCCTATGCACACTTTTCTTTTTTTTTTTTTTTTTCCACCCCCATTTTTTCTTTCTTTACCGCTACTCTCGCGGCCCTCCTCGAATTTTCCGAGCCCCCTGATGCGCCCATTATCATCCGTCTAGTACATATAATGAGCAGCGGCAGGGCACAGCAGCGGTTCTTTGTTCTTAATTCCATGAATGGGAAAAGTGGCTGGCGGGACCCCCGTCACAATTATACGAACGCGACCGAGTGGAGGAATGTACAGGGGTACAGAGAGAGAGAGAGAGAAAAAAAAAAGAGGGATATCCATTGTTTCGCACGTAGGTGTATATGTATATACATATAGACGCGTACAGCGGAGGCATACACGTCGTAATATACCTGTATACAGTAGGCCGTGTCCGACTGCATTTTTACCTCTTCCACTTGGCGTCCCGCGATATGTACTCGTACAATGGAACTTGATGGGTTAGCCGAGGACAGCGTGTCGTCTCGGTCGACCCTATGTTGGACAAACTCTCTTTTGATATTCCATCCGCGGAAAAATCTCGTGGCCCTGTCCTGCTCGGGACGAGCGAATCGCACGCCACGTCATTTAATTTTTTCATCGGAGGGATTTAGTTTTCAATTATTTCGGGAATCATATCATTTTTCCTGTCCCCCCTCTTAAATGTAGGTATATGTACGTGATGTGGTGTCTCGTATATTTATGTACCCACCTCGTTTTTGATGGTATTAAAAATCATGTTTTTTTTTTTTTTTTTTTTTTTTTTTTGTCATCAACGGGACGAACCGCATACAGGTCCCACGTAATCTCCACTCTACTGGTGAAAATGTCCTGAGTAAATAAACTCACTTTTGATTGTAATTTTTATAAAAAAAAAAAAAAAAGTAAAAAAAGTAAACAAAAAAGAAAATAAACAAACGTGTATGGCATCAGCGACTTTTCCTCCACTCGTCAGCTGGTGCTCGTTACAGTACATGCATATAGTTGTCGGTGTCGAGAAAAAGCCGCGGCGTTAAAATGCCAGTAGCAGCAAGGCGGGGCGCTGCGTGAAATTTGAACTTTCTCCGGCGGGCAACGGCAAAAAGATGCGGTCGGTGAGAAGTAGCTGCGCCCACGTGTACTTACAACAAAACACCGCGCGGCCAGGTATTATAAAAGCCGACGAGGTCCGAGCTTGTCACTCGACCGAACGAGGATGGCCAGCGCGACTCGAGCTCCGCTGACGCGGCGATTGCTGCTCCTGGTGTTGCTCCTGCTGGCGTTTGCCTGCACCCTGGCCACGGCCAAGCACCACAAGGAGGAAGGCGGCAGCGAAAAACACCACCACCACCACGAGGAGGGCGGCGAGAAGGGCGACAAGGGACACAGCAGCAAGCACCACCACCACGAGTCAGAGCACGGTGAGCACGACGAGGGACACCACTCGGGACACCACGAGGACCACCACGGCCACAAAAAAGTGAGTTACATGCCACGTGGTCCGTTCGACCTGGGTGTACCTTATAGCTGACGCGTTGCTGTTTTCGTTCAGGCCCACCACGACGAAGACGAGAAGCATGGCGAGCACCACGAGCACGAGCACGGACACAAGGGTGGCAAGTTTGGGGAGAAAAAGGGCCACAAAAAGGGCCACAAGACAAGCGGTTATCACCACAAACTCCACAAGGATGAGTTTCACAAGGTGTTTCCTTGTTTTTTCATGTATATAATATTATGTTTATACATTGTATGCGCACGTGGCCTAACTCGTGTGATTTTGTTTTTCTTTGGAAGGAGCACAAGTTCTACGACGATTACCACAAGGGGGGTGAGCACGAGAAGCACGGGCACCACCACGGCCACCACGGGCATCACGAAGCCGAGCACAAAAAGGGGGGCCACCACCACAGCGGCAAACACCACGAGCACAAGGGAAAAAAGGGACACTCGTCCAAGGGCCACCTCGACCACGACCATCACGGCCACCACGGGAAACACGGCCACGAGTCCCACCATCACCATCACGAGGGACACTCGAGCAAAAAGCACCACCACGCCGGCAAGAAGCACCACCACAAGAAGGGCTGAACAACCATCCTACGTACCCCACCAATCATAACGATTATCATACCATGTACTCTGTATGCTCGTCTTGCTACGATTCATTACAATTTACTTTCATAAAGGCTCGTTTTAATAATAACAATACACGCAATCAGATTTTTTCTTTTTTCTCCTCAACTCGCCCCATCCCGCCTTACATGCCCTTTATCCCCCCCGTAAAAACGTCCACTACCGTATGAAGCTCAACTTTTGTATTGATGGAAGATAAGAAAAGAAAAAAAAAAAAAATATTAATAATGTAATCGAATCGAAAGAGGAAAAAAAAAAATTACAAGTATCGACGTAAAGAGAGATACAGCGATGACAACAGATTAGTTTCGACACTCACATTGTCCCACCGATTTGCAACAAGCTACGAAAAAGAAAAAAAAAAAAAAAAAAAAAAAAGGAAAAGTTCACGCGTAGGGCGCTGTATAGGTGAAAATCGCACACTTCCGAGGACGCGATTGCCAAAGGTGCCGGTAGAATTTCTCTGCCGAATTTCTGTTTTTGCCTCGGTTCACCGTAAGCGCACGCGTTGCGAGACGGAAAGAAAAAAAAAAAAAAAAAACCCCAATAGCGGGAAAAATCGGGCGAGATGCAAACCGATCGCGGAAAAAAAAAACACAACAAACAAAGACCCCCCCCCCCAAAAAAAAAAGCAGAGAAATCGCTTCCAACAGCGACAGATGGATGACGCAACGAAACGCCGCGTTCGGGCTCCAGTTGAGCGTGGAGATCGGCGCCAGGAATGTCGAAGCGCGACAAGTGGGCATATATTTCGTAAGCGATTGTCTTGCCGCACTGGTGGTGAAAAAAAAAAGACACACCGCAAAAGTAACGCTCGCGACGAGCCATATAACCGGGCGCGCGCAAACCCGGGCCGGGCACAAGCTTCTCGGCCGTGGGACACTCATCAGCTGCACCGAGCACACAGCCATGAGGAGTCGCGGAGTCTTGTTGCCGGGGCTACTGGCCCTACTGGTGCTGCTACTGGGATCGGCGAGTTCACCCTCGGAGGCGCGCTTCGTTGTAGGTCCGGTACTTGATCTCGAGCCGGCGGCTTCGCACCACCACCACCACGAGGAGGGCCACGGTGGGGAGTCGCACGAGGAAAAACACGGCGAGCACGGCGATAAGGAGCACAAGGTACCACCACTCGCTTGGTCCGGGCCAATGATTGATCGTATATTGTTTACGTAGGGCTACAAGTCGCATCACGAGCACCACAAGGGCGAAAAGGGCCACCACGACAAGGAGGGACACGAGCACCACTACGACGAGGACAGCGGGCACAAAAAGGTAATTTACAACCAATAATCAGTACAATAGGGTGTATCGGAGGTGAGGGTGTAATGTCGCGTGTTGTCAGCACCATCATCACGACGATGGGTACCACCACGAGCACCACAAGGGCGAGAAGGGCGAGAAGGGGCACAAGTTCCACGAGAAGGGCCACTTTGGGAAGGGCCACAGTACCAAGGGCCACCACGAGATACACAAGCTCGACGAGTTCAAGAAGGACAAGGAGTTTTACGACGAGCACCACGACCACGGGCACCACGAGAAACACGGGGGACACGAGCACGAGCACAAGCACAAGAAGGGCGGACACTTTAAAAAGGGCCACCACCACAAGGGCCACCACGAGGGTGAGAAGGGCAAAAAGGGACACTACAAGAAGGGACACCATCATCACGACCACAAAGGTATGATATTATATACAAATATATATACATACACATACACGTCACCTTGAAAAGAAGCAAGAGGAGTTAAAAAAAAAAAAAAAAAAAAAAAAATCTTTCGTTAAATACAAATAGGTCACAAAGAGGAGGGCGGGCACAAGGATCATCATCATCACCATCATAGTTACGGGAAGAAGGGCGGACACGAGGACCACAAGCACTGGAGTCACAAGGGCCACTAGCTGGATTTTTCTCCTTTGAAAAAGGAGCATTACTACATATTATACATCACCTATATACATATACATACTGTATAATTTAATCTAAAAAAAAAAAAAAAAATCGTGCGCTCGTACGAGAAAATGTAAAAAATACGACATGTGTGCGGTACACGTAACAAAATAGTATAATATGTATTTGTACAAAAGAGTAAACAATCGCGCGTGCATCGTATATTGCACTTGTAAATGGCAAATAAAAAAAAAAAAAAAAAAAAAAAAAATTATGAACTATGTTTATTAGACATTGATATCGTACATAAAAGCTGAAATTGTATTGCAAATTTCTGGAATTTTTTAAANGCCCCGGACAAAAGGCTCAACCCGGTCCGGCTAACCCTAACTCTCTCTCGGCTACTGGTGCTACTTTGGCGCGAGTAAGTAACGTCTCCGTGAGGCCACCCCCTTGCGTAAACATATCAAGCCAGCCCCTCTTTCTCTCTCTCTCTCTCTGTCGCGCTAATTAGGACCCCAATTATTCGGCCTCCCAGCGACGCGTTGGCAACGAGGCGGCGCAGACGAGCAGGGACACGCGCGGAGACTTAAACTTTAGACCCCCCCCCCCCTGAGTTTGCGCCAAAGTTCTCCTCGCGCCAACTACACTGTGCGCTCTCTCGCTCCTGTGATGGCCCCAAATGCTTTTCAAACGACTTACGCGCTCCTTCCCCGGCAAAAAACACGCGGTCCTTTTGGCTGCACTCCCTTTGCTGTTACGGTCCAGGGGTAATTCAGCAGCTTCGAGTGGAAACTAGAAAATTCGAGCAAGCTCCGTATTATTATCAATCACTTTGTCGCGGAAGCTCCATCCCATTCGTTTGTCCTTATATAATAAGTCGTTGTGGCCAAATGACGGATTCGACGAGTATCAGGGAGCAGCAAGGGGGGTAAGCTCATCCGTCCGAGAGAGGAGTAAGAGAGAGAGTCCGGGCTTACCGCCACAGTCGAGTTTGCCGGTAAGGTGTATATGGGCGCGCGTCTATGTAGCGAGGGACCGATGAATTATTCACGAATAAGTAGCCGTAGGTATATACATGTGTGTGCGTGTACGCCCCCCGGCTGAGGGAGAGAAGAGAAGCGCGAGTTACACCAGCTGGAGAGGCGCGCGAACGAACTAGGCGACAACTACGGCGATCGGGCCATGAAAATTCAACGCGTCGCTCGGCACCGACTCGTACAGGACAGAGAAGAAGAGGGTATAAATAAGCACGAGGATCTCTGGTGTGTTTTTTTTTTTTTGCCTCGAGAAAATAAACGTATACATACACCGCCACGGTGCGTTTACATCACGAGGTTTACCCAACGAGCTGCTCGCTAATCCATCACCTACGCGTTATTCGGTATCACATGGTACATAGGTGTATACATATACTCTAGCTCCTCCTCCTCCTCCTCCTTGATCGGAACGTCTATGGTATATGTACCTATGTACCTTAGACTCTTGCACCGCGTGTGTGGGTGTGTTGCCGACGATTGCTCTCACGGTCCCGCGAATTGTTTCTTGCCGCGGCTCGTCCAACTTTCCCAACTATACAACTGTATAGTTGTTGCTCGCTGTAATCACAGAATCCTACACCAAAAGAGGAGTCCGTACATTATTGGTGATGTCTCGTACAGTCTCACACGCTCGTCCCTTGCTTTTTCGTATACACGAGGAAAGAAAAAGAAAAGTAGATGCAGCCAAGTGACGGTAAGACATTTCGCCGAGGCCAAAGCTCGCCAAAGCCCCCGCGCGAAATACATCATCACGCGTGTGTCTATTTACATGCACGACGAAGCACAGCAGGTGCGAGCATCATCGGATAGGTGTGTAATACCTACACGCGTATATTACATATATATATATATGTATACGTGGCTCTCCAGCGGCTCTCGGAGCCCGTAAATTACGTTAATGGTAATTTATATCTGGGCAGCCGTGGCATCATCATCACGATCCCATGTTAATTATAACGCGGCCCGAGAGCCGCTGCGGGGGGCTAAGAGCACCTTTGGAGGGAGTAAGTGTACTTTAAGGCCAGAAAGCCCATCCATCTCCCACACATACCCCTACCCCCTCCGTATTCCCGTGTAGGTCGCGTCTTCTCCAGCGGCCTATATACGGAAGCTCCGGAGTAAAAGCGACAAAGAGGACGGGTATGTGTATATAGGGTGTACAGGCGGGAGGGAAAAAGAGGGCGCACATATTCAAATGGCCGGCCTGCAGCCGCGGGGATTTATGGGCCTTCGGGGCCGGCGTTCTCACGCGCCCGTACATATACAACCCGCTCCTCGCGAAGCAACGTCGCCGTAATAAATTTTTCTCCTCTCGTTTTTGTTTTATCGCCCCTCTCTCCCTACAGATGTATATATGCATAAAAGCCCCGGGATGGGGGTGCATATAATATATGCGCATACGTTTTGATTAACCATTTGCCATACCTGGTAAGGCTCGATTTCTCACCTCAGCCGCGTAAGCTCGTACGATGATGCAGATCGCGGGGGTAAAGCACCCATCGCCTATGACGGAGGTGTCGGCACGTCTGGAAGTTGATTCGACGATATATCGGTGTGCGACCGGCTTTCGCCCACTGGGGGGCGAGAAAAGCACTGGCGCATCGATGGCTCGTGGGTGTGTGTGTGTGTGTATCGGATATGGCGGGCAACTTTGTTTTATGGAGCTTATGGGACGCGCGGAGGGAGCTTTGGCTCCATCGCGCGGCTCTCCGAGATAAGAGGACTTTGCGATTTTTATACCCCTACCGCGTGTGTGGGAGTTGGGTTAAAATGTATTCTTTCGAGGCAAGATCGGGGCCCGGGAAAATTTCTTATCTGCAGTGAGCGCGTAAGTGCCGAAGAACCGACACGTAACAGACGGTATATATGAGAGACATCAGGGCCGAGGATCTCGGAAAGTTTATGGATCCAAAGATCCCTTTGGGGGGTAAAGTCGCGCCTAAGTGAAAAATCGTATACCCTGACGCGCAGCGAGAGAGCTACTTTTTGTCCGTTGTTTTTGTATTTTATTACAGCTCTTTCGTTGCTTCGTACCTATACATACGTGTCTCACAGTAAGCGGAGGAGGTGCGGAGTTTTCGAGTGGTGCCGTCGAACGGGAAAATCAGTGCTTTATCGGTTCAACGGAGGAATGTCCTTAAAAACAGAGATAAAACACTTTTCCTCTTTTTTCTTCTTCTCTATATATTATGTGCGCAAAAGAGAGTGGGGGGGGGGGGAGGATGGAATAAGGATATGGCACAAAAACGGCAAAGCGTATACTTTATACGTATAAGTAAGTATATACGCATATATATATATACGGGTAGCAGCTAAGATGAAAAGAAAATGAGATTGATCCGTATAGCCTCGAGGGCCGGTAATGAATGTAGCCGCTCTTCTCTTGTCGACGTGATTCCCTCACTTTCCCGAACGGCTCGACACGGCGATGCAATACTCTATACCTACCCCCAGTCATATGTATATATATACATACCGGTTTGGTATAGGTAGCCCCCCCCCCTCTCTATCTCCAAGGGGAGCCGGGCAAAAGTATATTTCCCGAGAGTAATGCCTTTCGATTACTCTCCTCGTCGCTCAGCCGTTCTCGCGCTCGCTTTACCCGCTGCCCTTTTTAAGCAGACGGAAAAGTTATCAGCCCCGCGCTTCTCCGATGTAGACCCGCCGCTGCACCTATATATAACATCGCTACACGTTTGTCTGTATACACATTTTACCTGATTTACTACTGGTATTAACTTTATGTACACAGACAAACTGCGTTACCCTCCCTCCCTTTTTTTTCTTCACACCATCTTGTTTACCCCCTGTTTTATATACACGCCTCATTTATCTGTATGTATACTTATTGAAAAAAAAAAAAAAAAAAAAAAAAAATTATCCTTCAAATAGTTTGACTTTGTTTGAGTCCTCATACACCTTATCACCCCTTTTATTCGTTATTTCGTTATTTTTACAAAAAACAGTGAACTCGAAGCGTAACGTTAAATTTACTTGACCCACTGAACTATATTAAAAGGTACTTTTACACGGTACATATTTTAGCCGAAAAAACCCTTCAAACGCACGCATTTATTTCCCCCCCCCCATAAATTGTACAAATCAAAGTCGCAATTAAAGATCCGGCCATATAAATACACACAGCCAAAGCAATCGTGCAATTACCACGGCCCTGAAAGGGACAAAGATCCTAACACACAGCCAGGCTATGGAGGGGGCCACGTATAGACTGACGAGCCGGTACGTATACGGGCCCAACGGCCAAGAGGGAGCGGCGCTCCCGGGGTGAGTTTGCCGTACGTTCCGCAAACACACAAACTATATATACCACCGCCGCAATTGCGAGGGAGCAAACTGCAGCGCAGCACCAGCCGAGCGAGAGATGCTCCTCTCCCCCCCCGAACTTTAATTACTCTGTCCCGAAGCCTCGCCTCCGTCTCCTCCTCAAAGCAAACACACGCGACCTCCTCTCCTCCTCCTTTTCTTTTCGAGATCTCTGTATATAATATATATAGATATGTGTTTTCGCGTCACTCTTTAGCGACGACGCATGGGGGGGTAGTAGCCGTCGCAATAGTCGAGCTCGTCGACGTAAGTCCTGATCTCGGTGTGGGGCTCTTGGATGCACTTGAAGAAAAACTCCCCGTTGGCGAAGTAACGCCGATACGGCAGACTGTACACGCACTTCCAGCCAAAGCCCTCGGCTATCATAGCTGTGTACCTATACATATACACACACGTATAATCATCATCTGGGGGGGTGGGGGGTGGGGGGAGTTGCTCGCCTCTCTCATTGTTCCGAATATATAGGTATACGAATAAAAAATGTACCTGCTGCTGCAGTCGATGCGAAAGAGCCGGAAAGCGAGGTCCCGGCCGAGGATCCAGCTCTCGGCGACCAGGCGCCGGGCCAGCCCTTTGCCCTGGTGGTCGGGGTGCACGGCCAAGTGGGTGCACTCGAATATGTCGTCGACGCAGTAGGTGGCCCAAAGGTCCGGGACACGGGCGAGGTACTCGTAAAAGTCGAACAACTTGGCGACCTTGGGTGGGAGCTCGCAGCCCAAGGTTTGGGTGTAATAGCCGGGGGGCATGAGCTCGGCTTGCCGGGTGTTTTTGTTGACGACCGCAGCAACGAGGCAGCCGCGGTGGTCCTCCGCAAAAAAGGTCATGCCCGCGCTCACGTGATTGTGCATCGCGCTCAACAAGGCGGGCTGTGCGGCGCAATCGCCGGCTAGTCCGACGTTCACGAGGATCGGCTCGTTCTCCATGTAAGTCGCCCCCATGAACTCAACCACGCGGGAGTAGTCCCTGGGCAGCGCCAGCTTTAGCTTGTAACTGGGGCCCTTGTGGGTTTTTATCATTCGGTTGGTCTCTCCGCGTGTTGTGCGTGTGTAACGCTTACCTTTTTCGGCTGACAGGTCATGCTGCGGGCCAGGTTATGCCACGTCCTCGAAACGAGACTCCTGGGAGTTGCTAGTCGAGCTATGGCGAGTTGCATGTTGCTTGGGTGTTTTTTTTGTTTTTTTTTTGTTTCTTCTTCCCTCCTTTATTTCCATCCAAGTCTAACTGGTGGATTTTTCTCGATACTTGTGGGCCGAGGATACCGGTATATCCAAACTTTTGACGTTACAACCTCACATGTTTTTTTACGTATATACATATATACATACATATGCAGGGTCATTCGTATCGGTACATCCCTACGTAATCATACAATCACCTCATTTTACAAGGATTGATGCCATATTAAATAAAAGTACAACATATGCTTATACAATATTACGTGTTAATTTCGTCAGTCTTATATTGGGTGTGTTATTATACACTATACGGCATTGTGACAGTGCAATCATTTTACAATGGGGCAATCGAGTTTTCAACAATCCGTGCAATAAAGTTTCTCAATCATCCTCCCCGAGGATTCATAATAAAGCGGTGAATATACGTGTGTGGCGATGGTAAGAGTTACGAGGGGTCCAATTGATTTCGGATGGAGGGTTTTCTCTCTCTCTTGCAGCTGTAATTTTTTCGTCACCCCGTATATATCATGAATACTGGACCGAGGCTGATGCAGTTGCAAGAAGGAGGTGGTGGATCGTGGCGCTGCAACTTATCGTCTCGCGAACTTATCTGTCATTTCCATATGGTCGACTCCGGGGGCCTTCACTCCTTCGTAATGCTCCGGCAGCACTTCCGCTTCCGGCTCGAAGAAGAAACTTTTTGCCGTTGTGTTTTCTCTTCTTTCCTCCTGTCCCCCCATCGCCGGCTCCTCCGAGTTGTTTGCAAACTCCCTCCCGAGAGCCGCGCCAGCGTAGTAGTCGTCCGAACGTGCAAATCTGAAATCGTCGGCATCGCGATGACGAGGGACCAGCTTTCTCGGAGCCAATCCTTGCACCCCCACGGCGCACGAGCACACTGCTACTACCAACAGCCACCACCAACGACCCATCTTCGACAATGATACTCGCATCCCTTTTTTTTTTTTCTTTTTTTTTTTTTTTTTTTTTTTGCAAAAGGGTGATATTCAGTTGCAACGTCGGGCAACAACGAGCGAAAGTGGCTCGGGCAATCAACTGAGCTCGCGAGCCGAAAAATTCCATGGCCTTTATATAGATATCTGCAGTTGAATCGAAACGTGTATATCCCTATATATATCTCAAGGACGGCTGTACACGGAGGTGGGGGATGGAGTAACGAGACCGTTACGGTTGCACGTAGTGCCGCGGTCGGGTCCTATATCGCCGCGTGTGTATCAATCTTACAGCGACGGTGTGTGCAGGAGACCCCCCCCCCATCCACCCACCCAACGTTTCTATTATATACGGGAGTGGATCATACGTAGCCGCCGTGATTTATAACGCCCCGTATATACATCGATCTCTATCTGTCGCTGCGATAAAGGAGAGTAGATCGGTTCCCCCCCCCTTTTTTTTTCCTTTTTTTTCCTTCTTCGACAATACGCTGCTTTATGGGAGTGTGTACACCCGTAACGGGCAACAAGCAACCCTCGTTAGAGATTATTGTGGGGGGCTAGTTTTTTTTTTTTTCCTTACGCACGGGTAAAAAACCCCTTCACCTGATTTCGTGTGCTCGGCATTGAAACGGAGATATTGCGAGAATTTCCTCCATGTACATTTATAATCGTCATATCGAGAGAGAGAGAGAGAGGTTGAAATGTAAATACAACAATGCGCGAGTTGATTGGTACACGCGCTTAAATTAGCATTTGCGAAAATTCGATGTGGTTGAGATGGGAAGGGGGGGGGGCGTCGATGAAAAACCGCACTTGTATTATAACCCACGTCGAGCGTGAAGGGTATATATATATACGTGCACACAAGTTGGGCGTGTATATATATATGTATGCTTTGGGTGCAAGCCGATAATTAGTCCTTGGGAGTAAATCGTATAAAACCGAGAGGGACGCGAGGACGAGTACAGTGCGCCTACGTATTTTATTTGCGTTTATTCTGCTCCGTTGTTGTGCTCAAGTTTATTTTTCAACTAAAACATACACACGTACGTTTGCCTGCGCCAGTGCCAAGTTGTAAGTTTAAGAGTGTCTTTCGTACAAGCGACGACGAGTGTTCGAACGATTAACCAAATCGATTTGTAATGTTGTAGCCCGTATATATATAGGTTTGAAAAGTAAAAGATTCCAAATTCTGAATTTTGTTAAGTAAAAGAAAAAACAACAACAATTTCGAATTTTCACAGGCACGCGGGGAGACATTTAAAAACCAGCCATTAAAAGTTACATCCGCACCGCGTAAGTAAAAAAAAAAAAAACAGAAAAACAAAAATTGTTCTTCGCCCAGTTGGTCAGATAAACGTACTCCTAATCAACAGCCCACTCATATTTCCAGTGTAACAACGTACTGAAAAAAAAAAAAATTACAATGGCGATCCAGTCGTACCCCGCAACAGTGGCGGCGCTGCTGTTGTTGCTTCGACTGAGCTCGAGCACCGGCTACCACGTGGTGCACTCGCAACACCAGCACACGCAACAGGCACCGGTCTCCTACGTCTACTACAGCAGTCACCTCGAGGACGCCTACCCGGTCCACGAGCGCGCGCCCCTCCACCTGGCGCAGCACCAGCAGCCGCCACCGCTCGCCCCGTACTACAACCTCTACGCCGCCCAACCTGCCCCCATAGGCCACCCCGAGGGGCTGCTCGAGGCTTCGTCCGAGGAGGAGTCGGGCTCGCAACAGGAACTCGAGCGCGACTCGGCGAGCGGCGAGCGCGACCGGCAAGGCTACGCCCAGAGCCACGGCTACGAGGCCGCCGAGGCGAAGAAACACGACTCGGGCAGCGAGGAAGCCCACCACGAGGAGGAGGCCGCCCACGCAGCCGGGCACGAGCACGAGGAGGCGGAACATGGGGCCCACGAGGAGGAGGAGGCAGCCAGGGACGCCGCCAGCCACTCGGACGGCTCCTTCCATCGCAAGGGGGAGCGCACCACGGGCTACCACAAGGTATATAATATATAACCCTACCCCGCTCATACGGAAGGATATCGTTCTCCAAATAATGTGCGCGTAACTCATACAGGTGTACCACAAGGACGAGTACAAGAAGAACAGCGAGTTTTACGACGAGGCGGACGCCGGGGGGCAGTACGAGCGCTACGGCTCGGGGAGGAAGGAGCACGCGGCCGAGGAGGGTGGCCACGCCAAAGCCGGGAGTCACGAGTCGGGGCACGAGAACGCGGTCCAAGGGCGCCGGGGTTACGGCGACGCGGGGCACGAGGAGCTCGAGAGCAGGTCCCGGGTGGCCGAGGAGGCCGAGGACGCGCACAGCCGGGAGCACCAGGATCACGCCAGCAGGGACGGCCATCGGCTGGCACACCGACACGGGGACCATCACCACGGGCCGCTGTACCACAGGCTGCGTCGGTGAATCCACTAATTGTTACCTTACGTGGAACAAATTATCGCAAAACCATAATATGTACTGTCTGTTGTGCATGCAATGCGCAAGAAAGACAAAGCTTTGTTTTTTCAATGGTTGAGTGAAAAAATAAAAAATATTAACGATCATACAACATGCAGTCGTCAGAGGTGCTTATGATTTATCGGAGACAGCGTGGGTGGGGTGTTGTTGGCTGACGCGTTTTGCTTGCGTGTGCAGCTCTATAGGCCAACCGGCTGTCGGACTGTCTGCGCGTGTTGTACGGGGGAGGCTACGGGTACGGAATGTCACGTTAAATTGAATAGGAATTCCTCCGGGGGGTGGGATGAGCCGAGGATGTTATGTACGAAACGCCTCTCCGTATATATGCACTCACGTATACAGAATTTGACGTAACTTACTTCTCTGCGTGTATCCATCCCTATTTGTGTAAGGGCAACTCAAGAGTGCGAGAGACGTGTTATACGCCGACAAGGTATACGCGAGATGTACCTCTATATATGTATAACATTATATGCGCACACCTATACCAACGCGTATGAATATAATATCAACTATACCGTATAAATGTGGCGACAAGACTTATAACTTGTTAACATTGATACTTGATCGTTGCAACGATGATGACGAACGATGATAATTCATCGCGTATCATATGTACATGAAATTGATGACATAGTTCCCCTTTCACGTGTTTCCCACTTGTGTCCAATTAAATGCGGCTTATCTTCTCTCGAAAGAGTATACGTATAGATATCAATACATTATACTACGTACAGAAGAGCTGCTTGTTGGGGGGAGATGATAAAAGTAGGCGAATGCGCACGCGACGCCTACTTTTTAAAAAAAATTTTTTTATTTTTACAAATCAATGTAGGTGTACCTATGTATAAGCAGAGTCGAACTCGGGGGGTGCTCTGTATATAGGTGCCGCAGGAATGCTTGAATTGCACTCGAGAATCGAGGCGCGAAACGGTAAAAGGACAAAAGAAAAGGGTAGCGATGGCACCATATATATATATATAAGTACGCAGGATCGAGACAGACGGAGAGATCGGGCGGGGACAAAGTGAGTATCGGGAGAGAGATGGCGTATAGTTGGGAAAACAAGACGGAGGAGGAGGAGGAGGAGGAAGAAAGGCTCGCACTTCTCGCGGTGTAGATATACCTTGTATACCTACACACTGCAAAGCAAACAAATCGATGCCTCCAGAAGAAGAAGAAGAAGAAGTGCATTTCTTGATTTCGTTCCACTCTCTGGCGTGTGCAATATATATATACAGCGCGTGCATATGCACCTACTTCTGTTGCTATTTCATTTTCTTCTTCTCCTTCTTTCTCCTTTTTTTCCCTCTACATGCAACGGTTTCAACTACACGTATATTCCTGATTTTATGTTTCGCGCGCGAATTTATATACACCATTTGACGTACATGCAAATCAATCCATAAATACATATCCAGTTTTCAAATGTATGCCATACTTGATATGCTTAACACGCGGTGAAAGTGTATACGCGGCGAACGGTGGGGAGTAACATCGCTACGACGACTCGGTTTATCGCGCGCTCTTCTTCCTCCTCGCCGTCATCAGTTAGATCGGATCTTCTCGTGAGTGTGTGTATTTACATGCGCGCACCTGCTGCTGTTGTTTTTGTTTTTTGGTACGAAATCGTTGGGTATACAGATTCAATCGGGGAATCAAAAAACATTCTTTTTTTTTTTTTTTTGTTTATCATCTTGTTTGTTCGTACATAAAAGTATCGATAAAACAATATTTTCATCAGTATTTCATCGTTACGTAGCCGTGCGCGCAAATGAGTGAAAGTACGTCCCAAAAGTGAAATTCGCGATTCGGCCGTGACCTCGAAAACAAAAAAACAAAAAAAAAAAAAAAAGAAACAAAGGCAACGCGCAAGATGGAACTAGTCCAAGAGTGCACTTATCAATCGCTCGATCTCGACGAGGCCTGCGTGAGATTGACCAATCACGCCGATGTTACCGATCTCTGGCTGTACACCTTATCATCCGACTGCCACCAAGTGCGTATATAAACACACGTTTACACCAAATGTCATCGAACGACATATTATAGTTTAAACAAACAATTTCTATGCTTTCGTGACAACGTTCACAGTGCCCTTACACCAGAGGCGCCGATTTATCGGTATCGCGGTCGCTGAGCGCCAAAGTCGACACCGCGACATCGCAATCGTGGCGAATCGTCAAAACCACCCACGGCGAACCTTACATATCCGCGTCAATCAATAAGTTAGTACCCGCCACAAATGAATACCTATATGTAGTTGAAACGATTTTTCTAAGCTAATCGATCGATCGGCCGTTCCTCCGCAGTGGCACCTATTGCCAGATCAGCCCGGAGATCGGCGAGTACGGAAGGTACGAGCTCGCGGTGCGCCCAAACGCGACCTGCGATTTCACGGTACTCGAGAAAGCAGGGAACCCCTACACTCGTGAGTACTCGAACACTACTTGTGGTTTTGGCACACCTGTACAAAAAAATATGACGCATCCACAGCGCTGATAATGGCGTTGGTGCTCGTGATAATCCTCCTGTGGAGCTTGTCGGCTTGGAAGACCCTGAGGAGGCGACGACGGGACTCTGCTCGTCATCGGGGAACGGGGGGAAGAGACAACAAAGACGAGACGGACGGGGGAGGAGGCAAGGCGACCGACGGGACAGCTGATAAAAGAGTGCGCTCCCTTGATGCCGTGAGAGGGTAAATACACACGTATAATCAGCTTAATTGGAGGGAATAACGTAAATGAAACCTTGGATGAGCTTTCGGGGAGTTTAATTAATTTACGAACCAACTCTGCGGCTGCAACACGTGATATTATACAATATGTTAACGGGTGTGTGGCGCAGCGCGAGTATCCTGCTGATGATATTCGTAAACAACGGGGCCGGGGGCTATCGACATCTCGAGCACGCGACCTGGGACGGCTTGTACGTCGGGGATCTCGTCTTTCCCTGTTTCATGTGGATCATGGGCGTTTGCATTCCACTGTCCGCCTCCTCGGCCCTGTCCCGCGGGACTTCAAAGCTCGCACTTTCCTGGGCTATCCTCAAGGTATATATAAATGTACTCCCATCGCTGTTCGACGCAAACATTCAACTTTATTTTTTTACCTTTCGTAACTCTCCTCAGCGCAGTTTTTACTTGTTTTTCATCGGCGTCTCGCTCAACACACTGGCCAACACCCAACTGGAGGACATTCGAGTGTTTGGCGTCTTGCAGAGGTTCAGCGTCGCCTACCTGGTCGCGGCTACCGTTCACACGCTCGCGTTCCGGCCAAACACCGCGACCAAATGGAAGGTACGATTAATGATAATGATCGACAAATATAAACACATCAAGGATTATCGACCCATTTGTTTTCGCTCCGTAGGGGTCATCATTGGCAGACGTGATGGTGATGCTGCCCGAGTGGGTGGTAGCTTTCCTCGTCCTCGCGGCGCACTGTCTGATTGTACTGCGGCTGCCCGTCCCGGATTGTCCAAAGTACGTATACTTACCTACAAAATAATAACGAGATTTTGGAAGGGGAGGGAGTAAAATTTTTGAAAAACATTTGCCAGTGGCTACTTTGGCCCCGGGGGACTCCACGCGGACGGCAAATATTGGAACTGCACGGGCGGCGCGACGGGCTACCTCGACAGAATCCTACTGGGCGAGCGACACGTTTACCGGCATCCCACGGCCAGCGGCGTTTACGCATCCGGAGCCTTTGATCCCGAAGGCGTCGTAGGTACGTATATATATATATCACCCAACTCTTTGCCTGTATAAATATATTGTGTATTATTGTCATGTCCACGCAGGTTGTCTACCGTCGATATTCCAAGTGTTCCTGGGCATGCATGCCGGGCAGATACTCAAGGCGCACCGCGCCTGGAAGGCTCGGCTGTTGAGGTGGCTCTCGTGGGCCGTCGTCTATGGCCTCGTCGCCGGGGCGTTGCACTACACCGGTGCCATTCCCATAAACAAGAACCTGTGGTACGTTTTTTTTTTTTTTTTTTTTTTTTTTTTTTTTTTTTTTTTTTTTTTTTTTTTTTTTTT